ATATTATCGAAATGTAAAAAAAAAATTGACGAAAGAGACAAAGAATTCATTTTTCGAATTGGCTTTTTTTGTTTGGAGTCATTACAGAAAACACATTTTCCTGTGAAACTATCATATCAATTTTGTTAACATTGCTGCAAATTTATTGTAGGATGCAATCGTCATCCAGTGCAACTTCTATGGTCTACAGAACTTTTTCATTTGCGAAAATTAATTTTCTTCCTTTTATTTCATTTCTACGAATTGGAGTTTGTTCTGTGTAGGTATGTTTTTCCTTTCAATTCACATATGTTAGTTTCAATTTTCATTTCACTATGTCAACGAATTTACTTTTGAAAAAATGAATATTTTCAAAATTGTTCAAAGTGAGCTTTGCCTAATATCAAATATTGCAAAACGTTATATTCCACATTTTTTTCAATATTGCATAGCTAACTTCTTAACTGTGTAATGACGTCGTTTAAATGAAGTAAAAGTTGTTTTTGACACTATTTCTATTTTTAGTTTCAGGTTCTTCGCATCACGAAATCCAGTATTTTTATGAACTTATTTTATGAAAATTATACCTTTATTAGAATGCCGTTTACAGATAGCGTCATGAAGATTTTTTTTATCAAGATAATTATTTTCCACTTTCACATCTGCTTCATTCTGAAAACAATACATTTCAGTTTGAAAAGTTCTGATCATTTTCATTTTCAAGTAAACAATCTAATTATGTAATGTAACTTTTCTTCGGAATGAAGAGCTAATATAGGGTAAGCGTTCAGTAAGCGCTTCCATCTTAAAATTTGAATAGAAAAAACTGTGTGAGATTAAAATTTTGTATTCATTTGAAAGACCTATTGACCTCAGGGCTAGTACTAGAGTATCACCAAGATTTAACACACCCATATATGCAGGATGTGTGAACAGGAAGATGAGACTGTCAGGCATGTCCTATGCGATTGCCCGGAGTTATCGTTGATAAGAGAGTGTCTGTTCGGCGAGTCTTGGCCTACACCTGCCGATATAAAGGAGATGTCTCCCAGTGGCCTGTCCACCTTCCTGGAAAGGACAGGATGGACGATGACCTAGGAGGACAACTTCTCGGGAGGATGTACAGTTGGCACATGTAGCCTAAGTGTGTGGGCTTACACTCACCCTCCCTACTCTACCGATACAGAAGACCTATTGATGCCACATGTCGTTGGTATCCAGATCATCCAATTCAGGTCAAAAGAAGTTTAATCATCAGCCTAAAGTGTTCGCCGTTGACAGTGATGACCTGGCCAACGTCATTCTCAAAGAAATGTGGACCGATTACGTCGACAGCCCAAAATCTACACCAAACAGTGGCTTTTTCAGGATGCATTGGACGCTCTTGGATATCATGTGGATTGGTTTCTTGCCAAATTCAGTTTGTTAACGTACCCATTCACCCAGAAATGGGTCTCATCGCTGAAGATGATTTTTTATGAAAATTAGGGTCATAGTGTGTGTTCGGCGAGTCTTGGCCTACACCTGCCGATATAAAGGAGATGTCTCCCAGTGGCCTGTCCACCTTCCTGGAAAGGACAGGATGGACGTTGACCTAGGACAACTTCTCGGGAGGATGTACAGTTGGTCACATGTAGCCTAAGTGCTGTGGGCTTACACTCACCCTCCCTACTCTACAGATACAGAAGACCTATTGATGCCACATGTCGTTGGTATCCAGATCATCCAATTCAGGTCAAAAGAAGTTTAATCATCAGCCTAAAGTGTTCGCCGATGACAGTGATGACCTGGCCAACGTCATTCTCAAAGAAATGTGGACCGATTACGTCGACAGCCCAAAATCCACACCAAATAGTGTCTTTTTCAGGATGCATTAGACGCTCTTGGATCTCATGTGGATTGGTTTCTTGCCAAATTCGTCAATTTTGTTTGTTCACGTACCCATTCACCCAGAAATGGGTCTCATCGCTGAAGATGATTTTTTATGAAAATTAGGGTCAGTTGCCAACTGTTCCAGAGTCCATTCAGCAAACACACGCGTTGTATATGGTCGTTCACCTTCGGTTCCTGAGTCAGTTGAATTTTGTACGGGTGCAGGCCAAAGTCACGACGCAAAATTTGTCAAGTTGTGGTCTGCGAAAGGCAGAGTTCTTGTGAGCGACACAAAATCGACTGCCACGGATTATCCTGCACACACTCACAGACAGCGGCAAAGTTATTAGCAGATTTTGCGTTTCGTCAATGTAAGGGTGGTGGTCGATCTTTTACTGAACCAGTTAATACAAATTTATCCACCACTTTGCAAATAGTCCTCTCAGTAGGACGATTATGGCGACCGTAAAATGGGCGAAACTCGCGGTACGTTGCCAGAACAGAACATCAATTTTTATTAATCAATTTTATCATCTGCACATGTTGTTGAACGCTATATCCGTCCATGATGATTTGGCAAAACAGACTGAATAAATGACAACTAATTTGACAGATGTAGCTTCAATAATATGGCCGTTATCAATTGTCTAAGTTCGGAAGTCCCTGTTAGAAGACCCTTAAAATTCTCATTTTTGGTAAAATCTCAAGAGACCTTCTACATAAAAACAAATTGGGAAAACGTAAAGAAAAATACTTTCAATCGCGAGATCGACACATGAGTTTACATAAATGCTCTGGAAAGCTTTTAAGAAACTCCCAAAACCCTTCAAACCTACATCATCTACAAAAAATTTTCGAGTGATTTTCAGACATTGATATCTTGTTTCTTCTCTTACGGGAAAAAAATACGTAGTATCAATTACTGGAGTCGGGTTCAGAAAATTCTGTAACAATGTTTCCAGTGAATTATTTGTACTATTTCGCAGTATTTATTGTATAATTGTCACCATTACATAACTGTCTCATAGCAAAATATATGTACGTTATATTTACTTATAATACCTACATTTAAAATTTTAAGACATCTGAGATTCCGATAAGCTTGCCAAAACTATATTTTTTTGTATAATATTGTCACCAACAGACCTGTATTAGATTTTAAATAGGAGTTTGTGATTTATCACTCAAAAGGTTTATTTACCATCTGAATAAAAAATATTGTTTACAAATTCACTAGAAATTAAGGTCCTCAGATTAATTTTGGCAATCAAATAAACTTATTGTTCGCATCAGTGCGTTTGGCTTTCTAATTCTTCATCAAATATAGAAAGTAGAAATCTACAAACAAAAATATTGCTAATAATGATTGTTCACTTTGGATGTCCCGGTAAGGTCCTTATCCTAATGAAAATGTCTTTCAACATTCAATACTGATCATAGCTTATTCTTCTTATGTTAGCAGAATCTAGTGGTTTGGTTTTCAATTTGAAGTAAGATCACTTTTTGATTGTTTCGTCTGTCAGGTGATTTCAATTTTATAGTGTTAATTTCTCTATAAAAACTGAATAACAAAATTTTTAAGTAGACTTTGAAAAGACCTTTCAAATGATATATCACTATATTTTTTAAAATTTCACAGTAATCTGTATCATAAGTTCCCGGACATTCAGGTATTGCAAGTCTACTTATATTCAGATATGAAATTTTGACGCAAGAGGACTATATTTTGAATCTTAAATTGACATATTCTTTTAGGAATAAGCATAGGTAATTGACTGTTCCACATCGTATGTAAGATATAATTCAACAGTATTTTAAAACTCAATACCTACTGTGTAGGATTTATTTTTTGGATATTTCATACATCCTCTTTCCATATTTTCAACTAATTCAAAAAAGAACTAGGTAAAAAAAAAATTAAATTGATTGAGTGACTTCGACATGGTTCAAAACAATTTTGCTCTGCCTGGAACTTCGAAGCTTCACCCCTTTTTGTTACTTTCTCAGTTATGTTCGGGAAATCCCTGTGGCGTCTGTCAACGCATCCTTATTCCACTCGATGTTGTTCCTGGCGTTACTTCAGTCACAAAGGTTTACTCTTTAGACATTTAAAATTACTACATTACTTATTTACCCATTTTATTACATTGACAATTGAAGTTGAAGACCAATTTATCATTTCTCTTCTCAATTCTGATATGTCAACTGTCACTTTGAGAATGAATCAGCTAGTGTCGCCAATCTCTCAACGCGAAATGTTTCTTTCTGTGTACAACTTATTAAACAGATACAATTTTCTGACAAATGTTACTTTTTTCAACATAATCTGTTACTTTTTTTTTCGAGAATTAACACTGATTCCACTTTAATACAGAGCTGATTCTGTTAATTTCTTGTAAGAAAGAAACGACGATATTATCTTAATGTTGGAATATATAAAAGAAAAACTTTTCAATCTCCAAATCCACCCCACCATTGGATTATTCCTGAGAAGTATTACCACATCTCTGACAGTTGCCTCTGTACAAAGGAGTTTTCGAGGTTGAAAACATATACGATATTAGAAACCAACATTTTCTTGCAGGTGAAGTATAGGAGATTTCTAAATATAAAAATAAAAAATTTGCAGTACTGCATATTTTACCTGACCCCATAAAACATGTAATCTAGAAAAATAACCTTTCTAGTCTGTGTTTCACATCAAAAACAACCACATACATTTAAAGAATATTTATCATTGCATAAGCATTTTCTAGTTTCCGAATAACAGAATAATAAAAATGTGCATAGCAATTTGTTTAGCNCAATTTTAGGCAGTAGAATTTTCAACATCATCCTATGATTTTTTTATATGGTTGGATTTCGCTTTATGAAACTGAAACTTATGTCAGAGAATAGTCACTAGATTAAGTCTAGAAAATACAACTGGAAATGTGGAAAATACTTAAAGAAATGTAGAAAATACTTAAAGAAAGTGGTGGAAATTAAAATGTTGAAAGCTTTCAACAAAGAATAATATAAAGACTCACAAGTCAAACGAGTTTGTCAAAAAATTCTAATAATAATATTTTTCAAAGTCATATAAAAGATCAGAAACGCATTTTTGAGTTGATTCTTATTTACTTTGTCACTGAATTAAAAAAATATTAAAAAAAAGGATTTTAATGGACAGAACTAATATCACTATTTGTATGTATCTTAGATGATCTTGAACTCCGGGATCTGCTTCTTGTTCTTGTTTTTTTTCTCTTTCTCTCTGGAGTCCTTGAACGAGAACTCCTTTCTCTATGTCTGCCATTACTATACCTGGAAGATATTGAACGACTCGATGAACTATTTTTGTCATTAGATCTACTTCGCCTCCTTCGTGATCTGTGACTAGTGTGAGATTTAGGTTTTCTTTGGTGATCCTCATACTCGGTATCATTATCCCATTCAGAACGTTCAGAAAAAGGAAATCTTTCTGGAGATTCAGACCATCTCCAGTTTCTGGGGTCTGACTGGTCATCCCTGAAAGTATAATAATATATTGATGACTGATAAGAAACCCAAAAAAACGGGATGTAAGGCTCGGTTTCCTAGTTTGACACATATTTCAATGCATTTATTTTTTATGTCTTCAATTACCAATATTTTTACTGTGGAATTTTAAAACATTTCAAGAGAAGTTAAGTTGGCTTCTTTTTTAGCTTCAAAAAAAGAAATTAATACGAGAAATTCAAAGAAGAAATACAAAATGGTTAAATTGTTTGTGACTGAGGTTTCAATGTCATTCTTTTTATTCAAGTTTGAAGGCTGCCGATTTTTGGAATTGAGTTTACCTCCGATGATTCATCCTGAGTTTATTTCCGATGACTCATCTTGGCTCATCGGAAATAAACTAAAGAGGTATGAACCTCTGAAGAAGCTAGTCACTCGGGTCAGCGAAACGTCAAGAAGAAATTCCAAAAATTGACGACTTTCAAACCCGAATAAAAATAGTGACACTCAAGAAGTATTAATTTCAAGAGGGATAAATACACTGCAATTTTTAATGAATACCGGCTAATATACAGTGTCTCACAAGCCCATGCACAATAAATACAATCGTGAATCAATGACAGATTTAGCTTTTTCTCTCAATCTGTTTGGAACACAAACAATTTTACCTTTTAATTCTCGAATAAATAACTTGTACTTGCTACTGATCATTGTTTCATTTTTGTTCACCATATCGATTCGGCATAAGTGATCATAGGTTAGATAGTCATTTGATAGAAAAAATAGATCAGTTTTGGTTTCCAATCTCACAATCTCTAATGAATCTATATAATTCGCAAGAACCATTAGTGCACTATGTCAATGCAAATCTAATCAAAAATGACTGGTAAATACTAGCTAAAACAGTCATCGTGGGTGGTTTAACCGAACGTTAAGCAATTCCATGCCAGCACCAAACAATCTTCCTACAGTCACATTACATGCCTCATCTCCAAGATTACCTAACACGAAGTTGTTTTGAAGAATTGACTTTATCCACTTTATAAGTGGATAAGTGCTATCGTCCAACCCGTGTTAGGAATCACACGTTAAAAGGTAAGACCTCGTTAATCCTTTGCTCGCACAAGTTTCGACTTTTGAGGGTTGTCGTTCGTAGGGGTGTGACAGCTGGTTAATGGAAAAACAGATTTTTTTTTTAAACTCGTACAAGATAGTGTCATACACGTACACTGTCTCTTACACAATAAACAAATAATCATCTTTCCCATACTTTCCCAATCAAATGCACAATTTAATGATATTTAATTTTTGTTTCTCACCTGTTTTTGGGTCTTTGGTTTCTGGTTTCCTCAATAGAACTGTATAGATTTCTTGGATTTCGAAATATGTGAAGAAAGTTGCAACTGTTACCTTTAGGACATCTTTTGAAGTTGTAGAGACCTGTAGGAATCAAACAGTTGTAATTACAACAAAAACAATCAACTCAGTAGTGAAATATTCTGCACAAGTTTCTTGAAGACTGCTAAGGAGTAAACAATAAAAATATAATCAACAACAATAAAGAAGAAATTGGAAATGGTATTATTTGTGTTGCTCATTTACTTTCTAGGTGTAAAATTACAAATCAATGTGTTTGGAAATCAAATTTAATTTAAAAAATGTCATGGCTCACAATTGCAATCATCGAAAAATCAATAAGGCAGGCTAGACTTGAGCATTGATTTTGATAGATTGAATCTAACCATTGGTTAATGCACCATAATTTTCCGAAACATCGATTTCTTTAAATAGAAGACTCAAGTGAATATCTAATAACATTACCAAGTGTAAGTCATTAGGTAGTTCTCTCAGACAACCATAGTTTCTTTAGTTGAAATAAAAATGTTCAGTCTGATACAATTGTGAAACAAAAATTTTGTTAGCTGTAAAACTGATGATTTATGTCCATATTTTGACCTTTGATAAAATTCATTACCAGTATATTTTTAAAATTGATTTCACAACACAGTATTCTCAAGTATATTCATTTTCTCTAGTGTTCTACTCATTCTGGGTTTTTCTTTGTATTGAACAATCAATTACCTATCTTTTTGGAATGTTTCCCAGGGCTGCAACATCCCTAAAATATGATCCAACACTATCATGCTTCAACAAAACATATTACTTGCAAAAAGGCCCTGCTGATAAGCTACAACTATATATTATATGTTGTCAAAATGTTAGCCTTTCTAAAATCAAGTACATCTGAAGACCCAGATCTTGTAAAAAATTAATGTCTTCCTAATATTCATGTATCACCTATTTTTTTTTAAATAATTCCTTTGTGTACCACACTGGATATTTGTTGTTTATGTAACTATTTTTAAATGGTATATGGTGGTCTTATATTGAATAAAGTGTGTTATAAAACTTATCTACACATTCGTTGGGGTCACCTAACGTAAAGGTGTGTTGAATTGTGCTATGTAAATAAAAATTGTTTTTGTTGTCTTTTTCTGTCCTTCTTGTTGTATATAGTATAAACTATGTTCAGTAACTACTTGAAATTTTATTCAACAAACACGCAATGTATATTATTTTATAGTGTATAGTTTTTCTAGAACATTACTCGAATAGTTATTACCAGACTAAGAAGTGATAGCTAATATGTGTAATTTTGTTCTTAAATTATATTTTAACCAAGCTGTGTCATAAAGATATGAATCTTAATTTTTGTCTTAATTTTTGTGATAATATCTATTTTTGAAATTGAAGAAGTGAATATTAACGTTGGATGACATATTGTCAAGACTGATATTGAAGTCTATTTCCAGGGAAGCATGAAAACTGTCAACATTCACAAGAGGTGATGTTGATTTTGTTACACTTGCTCACATTACATTTGTAAGAACCAAATCTAATGAATGATTTGAATTATTTAAAATACCATTTATAGTGTACAAGTCATATCAACAAATCATGTAATAAATAGTTTTGGCAGAGATCAAACCATGTCTGGAGACTGTATCAAGGAGAGATACATAAGTATTGGAAAATATACATTTTGAAATATACATTTTCTAATAATGTTTGCCCTGAATGACTCTTGTTTAAGAATATGGTTTTTCTTCACACAGCACATGATGCTGCCTCCTCGTTTTACTCCAGCTTCGTTATAATTTTTGTGGTTTCTAAATATTACATGTTGATTTTTGTAGAGTTCATGCTTATAGATTGAGTTATTCAGCCACGTTTCATGACAAAAGAAAATGTCAATAAAAAAATCCAAAATCTAACATGAGCTGTAAAAACGAATATTTGGACATTCAGCGAACTGTATTATTTCAATCAGGTAAATCATGGTCAAGTTTGTTTTTAATATGATGAATACTGTAAAGAAAACACATTTTTATAGATGAAGAGTGACTTTGAATATTTTGAAGGCAAGACAATGAATCTGTACTCACCACAAATTGCAGATTTCCAACTCGGTATCGTTGAAAACTGAACACTAAGCTGCTTCCCACCATACCAGCGACCATTCAAGCCTCTGTAACACTTGAGAGCACTCCTTGTAGAACTGAATTCTATAAAAACATTGCCTCTCAAATGTGTCTCGTGGTTACAACAGGTAATAAAAAGTTTGATTTTTCCATAGTTTTCCACCTCTGAAACAACATCATGAAAGAATTCTCGGTAATGTTCGAATGTTTCGTGACTTTCAAATTCCAAACTGGAGTCACTGAAATTATCATTTTCTGTTTTTTCTAGGCTGTAATGTGAAAAGAAATTTGGTATTTGTATTATTCGGCTTATTCCTGGTCGCACATGGTTTCTAGAACAGCAGTCATAAAAGCGACAAGTAGATGTTTTTTGAAAAAAAGGGCAAGTTGATTTGTTTGGATTAGTCTCCAAGATAGTTTTCAAATGATCAGGAGTATCACCTCCATTCTCGATGAAATTATCTACTTTTTCATTGAGTAATTTCTGTTCCTTTAATTTTTCCTCTAGCTCTTTTTCTTGCAAAGCTTTCAACTCCTTTTGCTTTTTTTGATCCTTTTCCCATTCTTGTTTGATTAGTTCATTTTGCCTGGCTCTTTCTACTCTTGCCAGAGATAATTTTTCTTGTAGTTCTTTGAATTGTAGCTGAGCTTGTGCTTCTGCTATCAACCATTGTACCTCACGTTCCTTGGCTTCTTTAGCTTCCTGTTCAATTTTCAATTCTTCAGCCCTAGCTCTTTCTGCCAAATAGATTTTATACTCTGTTGTACTTTCCCACTTTTTGAGTTCTAGAAAAATTAGATTTTGAGAATGTGGGGTCAGTATTCAATACAATTTGCCCTACCTTCAATTTCTTTTTGGTCTCTTAGTCGAGCATTCTGCTGTCTGATTCGCTTTCTTCTTGCTTTCTTTGCTAACTTCCTCCATTCAGAATGTCTAGATGAAGGATTAAGAAATATAACCTCAACATGCATTCAATAGAAAAGTACTTTCAAAAAATATTCTTAATGATTTTTCAAAAAGGATACCTACTTCCCCATAAGAAGAGCTGAAAAATATATTTTAAATTATTTGCACAATCATACAATGAGTTCAAAATGCAAACGGTCAGAAGTTTTATTAAGTATCCTCATCATTAAAAACATAAACTTTTTTAAAAACTCTTTAAAAATCATATAGTAGAACGGCAATGAACCTCTAAGCACTAAAATTATTGATACTTTTTAACATTTTCTATTTTGAATCAATTCAAGTGTCAAAAGTTTTTGACAGACACAACAACCACAAAACACAGAATAAGTAAACAATAACAACCATGCCATGATCTAACTTCACAATCAGTATTGCCACAATGAAATGAGCATCAGATAACCAAAGGGATGGTTCCAGTATATTGCTGCCAATATAGATTTTTTTCGACAAGAACACTTCGAATATTTTCCAATCTGTTTTAATAAGAAATTTTACAAAAGCATAGGAGACAGGCCACGAGAATTTTCCCAGATCACACCTACAACTATGAATTATGAACAGCTTCTAGACAGTAAACCTCTCGGATGCCTTTACAAAAGGCAAGATTGTTGTCAGCCCGTTACACATATTATATAATTACTATGAAAGGGAATGTTGATGAAACAAAGTCCAATCTGTCACCCATCTCAGATACATTCAACCAGTGCAACTTGAAACAATATCTGTCCATTGCGAATTTTTCAATAGATAATTAAAAATATTTTTCATGAATATTTAATCCGTAATCGGTCCTATCTTACATTGGAAGTGAAATCAAACCAATTCTCTTATATGATGTTTATATTGTCTAATTTTGAGTTTTATTCACTGTTCAAAAATCGTATTCATTTTATTATATTTCATGTCAATGAAATGAGAATTTTCTTTGCAGAAATTATATTTTCTTGTATTGGCTATTATGGGTTTTTGTCATTAGTGTCAGTTATCATGTAGTTGAAGTTCATATCATTCATTTCTGAATTTTATTATTCTTTTTCTCAGTATCACAGAACACCGTGTTCTGTGTCAGTATTCCCAATACTTTCAGTTAAGGTAAAGGCGTGACAATTGCCATGACAATTGACACTAAAGACAGACGAACAGAATAGCCAACACAAAAAAATACATCTGCTACAAACCAGCACAAACAGTATATTATTTACTACGAAAAAGTTACTGGGATAGCGAAATATGTCGTGATATTTTTAAAAATAAAGTTTGTGAAGATCAAATCGTTAGGAGTAGTTTGTGAAAAAACTTTGAACTTCAAGATATTAAGGAGAAATACTGTGCAAATTGTTAAGCGGACAAAAAGAGGTAATTACCTTAGTCAAGTATTGATTAGCATGCTTCTGTAATATGAAACTACTTTTCATAATATTAGTACTGCCAACTTCGCAGAAAGTCATATCATATCTCAATAGGGATTCTATCAAATAGTACATAGTAGACTGTTTTTTTGCTGCTGACACACCAAGTTCATTCGCTTCTACTATTACTGCAAAATATTCAGAGTCAGATTTTTTTGTTCACATTGATGATATGATTACCAAATTTCAGTGTGTTATCAACGGATATTCCTAGAAATTTAGCAGTGGAATAGTTCCTATTGTAGTCATAGACTATGTTTGAATCACCAAAATAACAACTGAACGAGGTAATATTGGTCTTATGTATTTTGTAACACTTCCAAAATACCAATCATGAAATTATAAAACAACAAAAATTAATTGGCGCTCCGGGGCGACTTCATTGATTCCAGTGGCGCATTTACTTTTTCAGCTGCAGGAAAACCCGAAAAAACCTGCAGCACCACATCATCTGAAGATCTTGATCTGCCAATGTCCTCTCTCTCATAAAACAAAATGTAGGGTGTCTCCAGAGGCTCTAATAAATTCAATATATCGCCAGATCACTTAGTAACACGACTATCCAGTCCGTTTCGTCTTTGACGAAGGCGTAATAATGACCAGAATCAACTCCAGAACCACAGTGAACAATGACTGCATGAAGATTATAATAGTGGTCTGCTAGATTGAAGTGTTCTTCTATTTCGTTCCTTAGTAAGAGTTTGGTGCTTACGTCAGAGGTTGAGAATTGAAGATCATCAGTGTTATTATTATTGTAAATGGGATGGATTCTTATTATTTAATCGTTTCAAAAATAGGTTTTGACTTTTCTCGAAATGACTTTTATTAATATTTTTTAACAACTGAACTCTACTCTATACAATAGTTACCAAAAACATAAAACAAAATTATTCATATAGGGAGATAAAATATTAACATGGATATATCAGAATAAACAATTCCAACAATTATTAGATTGACTGGTGCCTCAGCTATACTTGTTTTTTTATACAGTCAGTTAGTTTGGCGCATGTTTGGTTATACAGTCGATCATCACCCGTTAAAAGTTCTATTTTCAGATGATTTAACAATAAGCTTTGCACGGACTGGTTATTAGTCATATTAGGAAATGCTTGTTGTCCTAAGGAGTATCTGGACTTCAAAGTCAAACAGTTGAGGTCGCACTATAACTTTACTAGTTTTTTTAAATGAAATGATTTTTTCCACGTCATAAAATTTGTAGTAGCATCTGCAAAGGCAGATGATATCACAGATGGAAAGGGAAAAGCAGAAATTGGCGAATATGGAGACAGATAACTAAATCATCTGGGAAGCAAAGTAAATGGTAACCATGATTTTTTTAAAGAACAAAACACAAGAACAACAGGAAAATACTTAAGACGCTCTCAGAACGGCGCATGTGCGAAAGTAGCGTTTCACATTGGATTTGAATCGCTGGAGATTAAATCACTTGTAAAAAGGTTCTCAGGAAGTTTATTCCATATAAACGCAGTTCTTCAAATGGAAGAGTTCTTAAACAGTAAAGTTCGAGGTATACTGAGTTGAAACTGAGTTGGGTCAATAGCGATTAATTCTAGATAAGCAGATAAATGAAAAAATAAGGGATAACTAATGATTTTTTTAAGGACAAAACAAAGTACTTCAGGAAAGTTTCTTAAGGCGCGAAAGTAGCGATTCACATTGGATTTGAATTGCTGGAGATTAAATCCATTTGGAAAAACGTTCTCAGGAAGTTCATTCCACATAAACAGTGAAGTTTGAGGTGTACTGGGTTGAACCCCTAAAAGAACTGTAAGCTTTTTTAATTTCCATAGTCATTTGTCACTAAAATACATTGATTTTGAATATAAGTTGTATCGAAATACTTTCGAAAATATGACTTTCGAAAAAGTTATGATAATAAGTAATATCAGTACTGTTTTGTACAAAAAAAGAAAACACTCTGTAATTCTTCTTCATAAATCATTATTGACCTGTTCTGTTCATCAGGATGCAAATATTACCAAAAATGTATTACTTTGTTCAAACAAAACATTGATGTGATCCTCCATTTTTCATTAGAATATTTGAAGATTATTTTTTCGTCAACGAAATCCAGTTTGTAAAACTGTAATTTCAGTGATCCTTGCACATCCTGTTTTCTGACATACCCTTTAAATCAAACCATAGTTTGCCCCCGTAATTTATTTATGATCTGATTATCCTAATGTAAGATTTTTATTTTTCAATGGAAATAATTACCCACTCATGGGAAGAGGGTAAGAATAGCCACCACTAGTCCCACTTTGACCCGTCTCTCGGAAAACAGATTCAAATAATATACGGGTATTCTGGCCACTGGCGAAAAATTGGTTGTGATAATATAATTGGTGGAAAAATATATTGAATAACAAGATAAAAACGTTTATCCTAACAACTAACTGAGATTCAAATATTCATTCTAGCAAATAGGGTAATACACAAATATCAAATACACACAAATATCAAAATACATGCGTTAATCCTAATACCTAACTAACTAACGCCATTCAATGTACCTACAGAATAAAAGGATCCGTTAGCATATGCAGCTAATGAGGACATTATTTTTGTCCGACGACAAATTGGTTGTGAACTGAGTTATGATTATTGCTATTCCATAGTTATTGAATTTTGAGAAACAAGTCAACTAAACATTATTTCGGGAGCACAGATTACCCCAATTTTTGTCGAAACTCATTTTTTCGGTGGTACCTTTTCCAACTCAGGTATCCTGGTAGCCAGATTATTAATAATAATAATAGTTTATTAGTTCTTTAGATTATGTGTAGCCTAATATAGAACAAGTCAGTATAGTACAGTATCAGTTATAAAAAAATATTTTCTAAGATAATTTAATATTGAAAACATTTTCCACAAAGTGTAGTCAATAGGTATAATCAATATAGTTGATTTAATTATCATTTTTGATATATTTATCATTCATGGTATATTGTGGTGAATCATTGAGTACGTAAAATTTTTAATGATATACACTTCTGGAAAAAATCCTAGATATCTGAGTTGGGATAAAAACTTAAAAATTATTCATAGTATGAAGACACACAGAATTTCCCAAACAATTCACATATTCAACTTTTTTCATTTTTAGATTTCATTACTGAAATCCTGACATTCCAAAGCACGCGATGAAATATTTTTATATAACTTGTATGGACCTCACGAGTTAGACGATCAAGGTTTTTGTTAATTAAACAAAGCAACAGCTGTATAAGCATATGTCGGTCATACGATGCAGATAAGTTACTTGGTGACTCAGCTAGCTCCTAAAAATTGAAACAATAAAGACAAGTAGGTATATCAATATCACGTATTGAATTTCAGGTTATAAGAGAAACCTTGAGAAGTGTTTGTAATATAAACAATATGTTATATTGAAAAATAACTCCTAGTTTTTAAACTCTCGCTTACGAAAACTACGTTGATTTCCTTCCACGCCTCCCTGGTATAACATTATTTATTTCAGATTTAGTTTGAACTTGTTTAAAAGAAAATGGGTTATTTATTTTCTGTAGAGAATTAGAATTATACACGTTTCTTTAATTTATCATGTTTCTCTGAAATGGTTCACCTCTTACTAAAGCTACACAAATTTTAGTGGCGTTTAGTATCTTTGTCCAAAAATATCGGCAATATAGAAAATCACTAGATCAAGAAAATTTATGGTACTAAAAACACTCCAAGTGCACAGTGCCGGATTTAGACTTCATAAGGCCCTAAGCTATTTGAAATATGGGGCCCCGCGCCTACGTTCGAACTGGGCCAGAAGAGCTCTTCACGAGCCTAGTCCTCCTCAAAGCGGTGATAGGTTAGGATTTGGGGTTTGCTCGCTAGTGGGGGAATTCTGCCCCATCTAACTTTAAATAGTTTGATAGTTCTGTATACCTATTCCTCGAACTATCCCATTTTTTTACGGCTTCATCGAATACGTACAGATTGCTCATTCTATGTTAAAACATTCTTAGCTTTTGGTCGAGATTCATGAGATATTTGGGATAATAAAAAATACTGACTAATCGGGTAGACGCGTATTGAGAAACATTTATATATCCTTTACAATTCAAACCGATAATTGCTTTATGTATCTGGAACTGCATAGGCTACTTCTCAAAAGCTTGGAACACTGTTGGAAACTGCACACACATCAGCAACTTTTGATGCTTTATAAAGCTCAGATCAGACCTTTGAAGTATTGTTCACATGTATGGAGCTCCGCCCCTAAGCATACCCTGAAGCTGCTGGATTCCATCCAGAAAAGAGTCATCTGCCTGAATGGAGACACGAAATTCACTTGCAACCTTGATAGTCTGGGACATCGAAGAAAGGTTGAAGATTTGTCTCTCTTTTATAGATACTTACACGGGAGGTGACTTGGCACATTCGATTCCACCAAGAACGGTACATATCAGATATACGCGACAGACTGTGACTGCTCATCGTCTTGAGATTCAACTCGGTACACCTCGAACTTCACTGTTCAAGAATTCTTTCATTTGAAGAACTGCGTTTATGTGGAATAAACTCCCTGAGAACGTTTTCCTAAATGCATTTAATCTCCAGCGAGCCAATTCCAATGTGAATTACGCTACTTTCGCAGAGAAACCACTCTTAGAAGGCCTTGAGAATTTTTCTTTAGTGCTTGTGATTTGTCTTCAAAAAAGTGTCTTAACATTACGCGAGTAAAAAAAACCTAAATAAATTTTTAGTACTTTCAATCCAATGAAAACTAAATCGGATACTTGTGATGTTTTACATTTTACATGGAGTATTGAATGTTTTTGTTGTTCATATAGAAATAGAGCAAGATACAGAATATTCAAACACATGCAGTGAAGTCGTCAAAAATCAAAAGTTTCGAAAAGGTCAAGAGTGGAAAAGAGTAACAGCCTATATAAAGTTAATTACTTCTTTACAGCTTTATAGCTTCTTTATAGCAGCAGTTTCCCAAATTTGTTGTGGGAGAAGTAGAAAGCCAGAAATATTTTTGCTCAAGAAGGAATCTCTCCTAAATACAGGGTGTCCCTGGACTTCCTCTTTTCCTCTCGGGAATGTATAGATGGGGTCAAAATATCACCAGTACTTCATATAACTTTTTTTCCTAAAAGTCTTCGTAACCAAGTTACGGGCCCTCGAAGTTACAAAATGAAAAATGTTTTTCTTTGATAACTTTTCAAGTGAATATTCAAAATCATCCAAATTTTGGTAATTGACTAAACAAATG